ATTTTGGTCTATGGACTGCTGAATATTGCTCCAGTACCTCTGAGGAAAATAAGATGCAACTATTTGGCTGTTTCTTTTTCTACCGAAGGGTGTAATGAACTGGTTCTTATATAGCCCTTTTCTACTCTATCTGAGCACTCAAAGTGCTTTAGACAACTCTGTTCACCCATTTGCACAAGCACAATGCTCATTATGTAACTGCTTTCCAACATTTACTCGTGTTTACAGCAGCTTGGGGTTAGTTGCCCAAGGATATTTGAATTGCAAACTGGAGCACACTGGAGTCAAACCACCAACCTTCCAATAACTAAGTGGCCTGCTCTACCGCCGGAGCTGTGATGGAGTTTATCAGAATCAGAAAAAGTTGTGGAGGAATTTGCATGACAACTTTTACAAGATGTATGTCTTGGTTGGTTGAAATCTGGGATATTCATTACTTTTGTGAGGTAAGGGAAATGTGTGTCATATCTTTACAAACATCACATTGACAGAAAAAATCGGAAAACATCCTGTGCTTTTATGGGAGGACAAGTAGCCCCAAGGACCAGAATTTAAAGCCAATGTTTTACCATTATTGCCCGAAGAAAAGTGGCCTAACTGCGCAATACTGCTCTGAGGCAACAGACCAAAAATGGTGTTTTAGTAAATAAATTAAATCAGAATCTGCCATAAAAACTTATTTCAATTTAAACATGCATAAAAATGAAATCATACTTAGCAGCAGCTAGCACTATAAGCTGTGTCTTGGCCCCGGAAAGGATTACTCCGCCCCCAGATCAAAGATCAAAACCTCATCTACTCGTTAATTAGCTAAACACGGAGGTGTCTTGTGTCACAAAATAATAATAATGATCACCAAAAATGTTGTTTGCTGCCTGAAGGCATCAGCATACCATAGAGGGTTAACATTAAAGACTAAACAACCACACAGGGTTAGATTACGAAAAATGTTCAAATCCAGCTGGGGCTGAGGCGAAATTGCAGCGATAACTATGGGTTTTCTGTGTTCCTCATAAAATTACGTTTAAATCTTATACTGTATACTAGGTCTGATTGTGACTTTATCTCTAGCTTCCCCCTGAAGGTGTAAGCTGAGAAAGCACAGTTGTTGTGTCGCCTGCTGTGATGTCACACGCCGGATGAACCCGCAGCTGCACCCACTTCACGTCAAAACAATCCGGAAGACGACACAGCATGATGGAACTGTTGTTGGGGCTGAAACGAGGTCAAAGCTAACACAAATACAAGTGGGTTTTAAAGCAGTTTAATCTAATAATGCTGTTAAATATGCAAAAGTAGCGTCTGAAGCGAAGGTTATTTAACCGCTTAAAGAGTCCAGTCACACAGGCTAACCTCGCATTTTGGATTCAAAGTCCATATCCTAGCTCTTCAACGCATTAAAGTCTTTTAGCTAACCGCAGACTGTTCCAGGGATACCATGGGCAACGGAATGAATAAGGTAGGTTTGCTGTTATTGTTTATGTCATGTCATTACGCTGTTTGGGGGTGTTTTTGATGGTTAAAAGTCCAAAGCGATGCTGGTAAACGCAGGCGCCAATCACTGGTCGCTAATCAATCACGTGACACGCTCTGCCCTGTCAAAAAAAACCCCCAAAAAGACAAAATTTGGATCCAAGCCAGGGCTCTTGTGCTAGACTCTAACCTACAATACTGTTGTATGCCAACCTTAAGTTAAGTGTCTGTGTCTGCATGTCATGTTTTGATGCTGTGATATTGCACTGTCATTGTTAATTGACAGTTAAAAGGGTCCTCCTAAAAGAAAAAGCTAACTCATGTTGTTTTTATTAAAAAGTAAGATTGTTTATATCGATTTCTTCCTAAAAATGAAATTGTCATCCGCATCTATTTTGAGCTGCCACAACAATGTTCAGGTACTGTAGTGAGATATTTCATTAGAATCAATCCAGCACTTCATTACCTTCATACAGCTATTGTTCCATAGGTATAGTACCAAAGCTGTACAGTAACACTCAGTGGCCGTTTGCCACCCATCACATCATTCAGATAACCATGCATCATTGCTTCAAGCCTTGTATGGCCATAAGGAACGTTTCCTTTGCTCGTAGCTCCACTAGGATCTTAAGCCTTAAGCTTTAAATCCAATCTGGCTCGAACCAGAACATTTGTTCTTTTCATGCGAGGTTCTTGAAGCTGAATTGTAATGAACATCTAAGTGCAACATGTCTGTGACTG